GGATAGAGGCAATCAGGGTAGTCAATATCAAGATAGACCGGGACAATTGACTAATAAAATTGATAAATTTCTGGAGGGCTTTAACCAAAAGATGAGTAGTCAGGATGATAGCTTTAAATGGTTAGAATCAAAGTTTGATAAGTTATTCAAAAATCATTCATCATTTATACATAACTTGGAGGTACAAGTAGGGCAACTTGCAAGTGCTATTTCCTCACGTGAAGTGGGAAATCTTCCTAGTAATACAGAAAAGAATCCTAGGGAAGAATGTAAGTGTCATTTGCCTTGCGAAATGGAAAATAGGGTATAAAAAAAGCTAAAATAGATCCTTTGGGTACTTGATGTTATGTTTTGAATAATGCAACTGTGGAAGCCGGTTTGTAAACCGAGCATTGAAAGTAAATAGTGGCAGGATCAAGAGGAACAAGAAAAAGGAAGGATACGGAGAAGGACAATGTTAAAATTTATCAATTCTAGGCCAGCTTTCCCGCAAAGGCTCAAGAAGCAGGAGCAAGATAAGCAGTTCTTAAATTTTATTGATAAACTGAAAAATTTGCATATCAACATGTCACTTATGGAAGCTATCACACAAATTCCAAATTATGGTAAGTTCCTTAAAGAATTAATTTCAAAGAAACGTAGTTGGGAAGATGTGTCGACAGTCACTCTAACTGAGGATTGCAGTTCCACAATCTCAAGTAAGTTACCTACAAAACTCAAAGATCCAGGAAGTTTCACTATACCATGCAAATTAGGTGAAGTAGATTTTCCTAGTTTTCCTAGATGCCTGTGTGATTTAGGAGCAAGTATTAATTTGATGCCATTATCTCTCTTTAAGAAATTGGGATTAGAGGATGAAGTTAAAAGAACTAACATGGTTTTACAACTCGCTGACCAAACTATTAAAAGACCCTATGGTATCATTGAGGACGTACTTGTTAAGGTTGACAAATTTATTTTTCCAACTGATTTCGTCATACTTGACTTTCACATACTTGATTTTGTTTATGATAAAAATTGTCCTCTTATTTTAGGAAGACCATTTATGAACACAGGGAGGGCATTAATTGATGTTTCAGAAGGAAAATTACTCTTTAGGATAGGTGATGATGTTATTGAATTCCATATAGACAAAGCTATGAAATATCCTATGGATAAAGGAAATTGCATGAGAATTGACATAGTTGATGCATGCATACAAGAGATATTTTCCCTGGAAGATAATGAAAAATTTGAGGAAGAAAATGTCAATAATGAAGAAGAGGAGTTTATAAATTTAAGACCTGAAATGTTACTTAAGGAGCATGAACCTTTGCCACCATCAATTGGTTCCACCAATACAATTGAAGTTCCACCAATAGTAGACCTTAAAGAGTTACCAAGTCATTTGCGATATGCTTTCTTAGGTAAAGATCACACACTTCCTATAATTATTTCTAACAAATTAAATGTAGATCAAGAGAATGATTTATTAAAAATTGTTAGAAATAGGATTAAGACTATAGGATGGCAAATTTCTGATCTTAAGGGGATAAGTCCAAATCGAGTCATGCATTATATCAATCTTGAGGATGGACAGATACCTAAGGCAGAAAGACAAAGGCGACTTAATCCTAATATGAAAGAAGTAGTGAAGAAAGAAATTATCAAGTTACCAGATGCAGGAATAATATACCCAATTTCGGATAGCCAATGGGTTAGTCCAATTCAATGTGTGCCTAAAAAGGGAGGAATGACTGTAGTAAAAAATGATGAAGATGGTGGAAACTAATTCCTATTAGGACCAACTACAGGTTGGAAGGGTATGTATTGATTATAGAAAACTTCAAATTCACGCCACAAGAAAGAATCATTTTCCGCCGTTACCATTTCAATATATCAAGATGTTAGAAAGAATTGCTGGTCCTGCCTTTCTATGTTTTCCTCGATGGGATTATTCGGGATAATTTTTCAGATTTATATCTTTCCGATGACCAAGAGTAAAACCACATTTTACTTGTCCTATTTGGTACATTGCATTACATTTGCATATAGGCGCATGCCTTTTGGATTATGCAATGCACTTGCAACATTTCAACGTTGCATGACCGCGATTTTTAATGACTACATAGAAGAAATCATGGATGTCTTTATGGATGACTTTTCTGTGTATGGTGATTCATTTGAAGGTTGTTTGAAAAATCTGGATCTTGTATTGTCAAGATGTGAAAGTGCTAACTTGGTTCTGAATTGGGAGAAATGCCACTTTATGGTTATGAGGGCATTGTTTTAGGGCACAAAATAAGTAACGAAGGAATCCAGACAGATAGGGCAAAGATAGAAGCCATAGAAAAGTTACCTCCTCCTACTATGGTTAAAGGTATAAGATCTTTTCTAGGCTATGCAGGATTTTATAGAAGATTTATAAAAAATTTTTCTATCATTGCTAAGCCTCTAACTAACTTAAGCCTCCTAACAACTAACTTATTGTTAAAGATGCATCTTTTGATTTTTCTCCAGAATGTTTGGAAGCTTTTTCAACACTTTAAAAGAAGGCATTAGGTAAGTGACAGCTATTATAGCAAAACCCAAATTGGGGATTAACCATTTGAAATAATGTGGTGATGCTAGTGATGTTTGCTGTTGTTTGTGTAAATTGGGCCAAAGACATGAGACAAGAAAAAGTTGCATGTGATATACTATGCTAGCCATGTTCTAACTAGTACTCAAATGAACTATACAACTACTGAGAAGGAAATGTTGGCTGTGGTATATGCCTGTGATAAGTTCAGATCATACTTGTTCAGAGCAAAAGTCATAATCTATACTGATCATTCTGCATTGAAATACCTGTTTGCTAAAAAAGATGCAAAACCACATCTTATTCGATGGGTATTATTATTGCAAGATGGGTATTATTATTGCAAGAATTTGACATTGAAATTAGAGATAAAAAGGGTTCTGAAAATTTAGTTGCAGATCATTTATCACGTCTAGAAAATGAAGCAGGACCAATAGGAGAAACTACAATTATAAATGAAAATTTTCCAGATGAGAATTTAATGTTAGTACAACATGTTCACACACCTTGGTATGCTGACATTGCAAATTTTCTAACTTCTAACATCATACCTCCAGATATGACTTATGCACGAAAAAAGAAATTCTATGCAGATGCTAAAAATTTCTTATGGGATGAACCGTTCTTGTTTAAAATATGTATGGATGGTATAATTAGAAGATGTGTAGGGGAAACAGAAATACAAGATATACTTATGCATTGTCATTCTAGTCCATATGGAGGGCATCATGGACTAGAGCAAATAGAACTGCTTCAAAGGTTTGAAAAGTTGGCTTTTATTATTGGCCCCCTCTATTTCCAACGATGCTCGTTATTTTTTGTCTCTCATTGTGACAGGTGTCAACGGGTTTGGCAACCTAAAAAAGATGAAATGCCTTTATCCAACATACTCGAGGTAGAGATATTCGAAGTATGGGGAATCGACTTCATGGGACCATTCCCTATTTCACAGGGTAAAAGTTAGTTATATCTTAGTAGCTGTTGACTATGTTTCCAAGTGGGTTGGGTGGAAGCACAAGCTTATGTCACAAACAACGCCAATACAGTGGTCAAATTCTTAAAAGCACTATTTACCAGATTTGGAGTTCCAAGGGCAATAATAAGTGACGGAGGTATGCACTTTTTAAATAGATCTTTTAAAAGCCTTTTGAGAAAATATGGAGTACACCACAAAGTATCTACCCCATATCATCCACAAACTAGTCGTCAAGTGGAAATTTCAAATCGAGAGCTTAAGTGGATTTTGGAAAAAAACTGTCAATTCCTCACGGAAAGATTGGTCACTTAAGCTCGATGATGCACTTTGGGCATATAGAATGGCATTTAAGACACCAATTGGGATGTCTCCATACCGTTTAATTTAGGCATGTCACCTACCCCTAGAATTGGAAAACTGAAATAAGGAAAAGAAGTGGACTTACTTGAAGGAAACAAACAGATCAAAGTATAAGGATTAGGACTTACTTGCACTAAAAGAGAAAGCTTAGGAATTAAGTTGTGACATAGTGACACTTGAGGGACCATTTGGTTTACACACAAAATCATGATATTTTTGGAGTATTCCCGAGACTTCCATTCCACTACATGTTTCATCTTTATCTTCTTCATCTCCTTCATCAACTTTCTTTTCTCCATCACGTTTAATGGTGGGGAAGATTTTAATGGGAGCTAAGCATTAATTCAACTTCTATTCTATCCAAGAGAGGTGAGCCAAAGGAACTTCTATTCCTATCCAAGTAGTAAACCTTCTTAAGATTTTCATAATTGAATCATTTGGTGATATTTTTAGAGTATTCATAAGAGTTCTTATGATATAGGGGAGGTGAGCTTCAAAGGTACAAGAAAAGGAAGCTAAACAAAGCAGAGCTTAAGCTTTTTGGAGTGAACGGTGGTGCTATCTCTTTTGTTTAATTCATTTCCTTGCCATGAGAATTTGTGTTGGTGTGGCTTGATAATGAGAAATATGTTTGGTTTCAATGTTGAGTAGATGACTTGAAAATGGGGGTGCAAAAGGCATGAGAATGAAATGAATACATGAAGTAGATATTGAGTTCATGCTGAACATAGTTTTGCTGGAAAAGTTACCAAGTAACTTTCACCTTGATGTTACCATTTAATGATGGATTAGGAAGTGTCCATAGAAGAGTTATTTGTTCTTCTATGTTTTTGTTAGCTTTACATGGGTTTTTGAATCACCCAAATCGGAGTTATATATTGCGAGAATTTATATATATATATATATATATATATATATATATAGGTTGTAGGTTGTGGAGTGCGGCGACTACGCGGTGGTTGGAGCTGTAGTCGGCTTGCGGGAGAGATTAGAAACGAAGGACGAATAATGAGGTGGGACTACTAACTTGGATGCGGTGAAGGACAACACTTACGTGGCTTCCGGTGGGCTTTCTGATGCTGGTCCTGACCATTCGGTTAGTGATTATGATTCTATTGGACACAAATCTGATGGGGATGCTGATCTGGATATGGGTGTCGATTCCATAGATAATTTGAGAGCTATTGGTACCTCTATTGGAAATAAACTGAATGCAGCTTGTGAACTACATGATGGCTCTTGCAAATTTGAAGTAAAAAACCATGAATAAAGATTATGCTGTTCGAAAGACGATCCTGTAGAAGCTGAAAACCCTATATTAACCCATTCAGGTAGGTAATCTCTTAAATCAACATCATAAATAAGATTTTTCCCAATAAATTGATAATAACTAAATGCAGTGAAACTAACAGTTAATCTTTTTAGGGTGGAGTCATATGCAATTGAAGCAAAAACTTTTTGACCATCTTCGATGCCTTTATACCAAGACCAATCTGTGGTAGTTTTAGAGTTAACAGAATTAATATCAATACCTACATGTTGACGATAAGGCGGATCCCAACTGTTAAGAAAAGTATCAAATTCTACTGCAAGAAATGGATATTTAGAGGTCTGATTTTCTCTAGCAAGGCCGAGACCACCGCCAGCAAAATCATCCCCGAGAGTGAAATTCTCCGATGAAAGAAAGAAAGTCATCCCGTCTCCATTATTTATAAGACCTTTGGATTCTATTGAAAAAGAAAAATTTGTGTGGAAGTCGGTGAGATTTCTTGAGGTTTTGTTCCAAAGATAAACTGGTTTACAATATGTGACTCGACCGATAATCTTAGTGGTAGAATTATCTGTGGTGAGCTGAATGGCATTTTGGGAGACAGAAGTATTTCGTTCGTAATTTAGACAACGGGAATTCGGATTGAAGCTGGAAAAATTCAAAGTTAGGGAAGTTATATGAGTTATTATGAGAAAGAAAAAGATTATTTGGAAAGAAAGAGTCATTTTAGAAGTAGTGAAAATGCTGTACAAAGCCATGGTATGAGAAATGTTGGTTGTGCTAAATAAATAGGAAAAGCAAAAAACTTGTATAGACTGGTGTCAGACCTCACATACAGATCAAACCAATGAAATTAAATTTTTTTTAAAAATGTTCGATTTTATTTTTTTTTTCCAAATGTATAGTCAAAAATACCTTCATTTTAATAATAATCATTAATTTTATTAGTTTGATTCATATGTGGAGTTATGGATCCAGTATTACAGTCATTTATTGAATAAGCTAAAAATCATCAGAAAAAGACAAGGCTGCTATATAATATTCTGTTGATTAATAAATATATCAGTAATCAATTATGCTCTTGATTAAGATATCTTACGTGTTTACACATTTAGACGATTAACTTATCTAGATTGGGTCTGAGCTTCTGACAGTTCATGGAAAAAAGAATCTCATAATTTCTTTTTATTTATATTTAGAGCTTGTTTATTTAAACAAATTCTATAATTTTAACAAATTAATTTATAAATTCTGTTTTTCCGTTAGTATAAAAAAATTCACATGTAATCATTTTTAATTATATAAAGTTAATCATACTTGAATTAAATTCTGCAAAAATTGATGTAATTTCTGCAAAATTAACAAGAGTAAAGTTGTATAAATTTAAAATAAATTATTATAAAGTTAATGAAGTTCATTGATAAATGAATTCATTTAAGGAAATGGTTTGAACAAAAGTGAAATTCTTAAAGAAGATTAGAAGGGGACACTATGTTTAAAGGGCTCATTCATATAACTTCTACACCAATCATGGAATTAGGAGGACCATGGCTTCATCGACTTCCTTCTCATTTTTTTTTAATTCATTGGAGACTTTACAAACTGAAATAATATTTACAGACTATATAACAGGAATAGTCCTCTCCTTGATTCATCAAATTCGTGAAATAATTGTGATCGAAAGGATTTGAATTTGAGACATTTTACTCCTTAGATAAGTAAAAATCAACAAGATCACTACCTGATGACGATCTTCCTTCTCATTAAAACAGAGATAAGAGTGGTCGAGAATTTGGATCTCTTAATCTCTCCGGAACAGGCTGGTTTCATGAAAGGTAGATCAATTCACTCCCAGATTCTATTGGCTAATGAGATGATTCATGAAATTGACAGGAAAGCTAGAGGAAACAATATTGCCATTAAGCTTGATATGGCTAAAGCCTTTGATCGTGTCTCATGGTCTTTCTTAGAGGCAGTCCTACTTCGCTTTGGCTTCTCTCAACCTATTGTTCGACTGCTCATAGCGAACCTTTCGGCCACCAGACTGTCAGTTTGCGTTAATGGTGCCAACTATGGTTTCTTCGCACCTTCTAGGGGGGTCAAGCAAGGGGATCCACTCTCTCCTTACCTATTTATATTTTGGTATCCTGATATGTTCTGCTTCGCGGTTTGAAACATCTTGTCTGCTTCTGGAAAAATTCAACCTTACTACCACTTTGCCCTTCCGAAATCTTGTTCTTCACTCGGTTATTCTATCTTGGGGCTTTGCAGACCTGATCTTGTTGATTCTGTACTCATAAGGGGCGGATAGACCTGATTGTAAGTGGGTCTTGCTAATTCTTTAAAAAATTTGGAACTGGTTCTTTTACTACGACCTTCTTAAATTAATCAGATCAAGATTTCAGACCGGTCGGGACCCTGTTTTCGGGCCAGTTGAATTAACTTTGAAACTGCCAATTGCATTTTCTCGAAACTAATAGGATTCGACAAAAATTGAGGCAAGGTTCCTTCTCGCGACCGTCTTCAAGAATTTTGAAAGCAGCTCTTCAATCAAATTGGAAAATTTAGACTTAAATGACCTCCTTCTTACACACCTGGGTCGTCCGCGTGCCCCACAGGTATTACCAAGCCAGTATTAAATCGGGTACGCCCTCATATTTTGAGCAGTGATAAATTTTGAATTAGAAAAGGAACTCTGGCATAAGACTTATGGGATAGTGTACTAAGAGCAATTTTTTATCTCCCCATAGGTCTGGCAATGTTTAGAGCTTGTGTGAATTACACAGCCTATGTTCTTCTATATTTATTTGCAACCGCTTTTCAATCCCCATACTCATTTATTCTGGGTTGGCAATGAAGCTAAATCCAGGCTCGTTCAGTTTATTGGGTATATTTTCTAATTGGATTGAGCTCCAAAAAGGCTGACCGCAAACTTTATTTTAGTGGGAGTTATACCGGGGTTGAACACAAATTACAGTATTCAAAAATTTCAATAACGCCGGTCATTGGATATGACAATTATCCAGGGCAGTTCGCTATTTTGTTAATTCCTACTGCTGAGGGGCGGCTTTTGGGTCATAGCAATTTTCCTCTCTTCCATTTCAATTTCATCGCTTATCCAGTAAGGGAAACTTATTGGTATCTCTTAATAAGAAATCTTGGGTTTCGTCTTCTAGAAAGGACATAAAACCAATTCTTTCGGTGGCTACGCGCTAGAACATAGTAATGCATAAGACCAATAAAACATTCTCGCAAAGGATCACAGCTTTTCCAATAATAAGAGAACCACAAAAAGATTATAATGCACTGAGGGGTAATTCAGCAATGTGGTGAACATGGAGAAGAGAGGGCGTTGGTTGAGGTTGCAATCCTCCTCTTCCATTTTCGAACATGCTTACTCCTTATCAGGAAACTCTTCGGTTCTCCTTATAGGTATATGAAAGAGCAGGTGGATTTCGGATACTCGGTCATGGAAGTTACATGTTTCAAAAGCGGCTCAATTTCGCACTTCGACAAGAGTGTTGGTTAGTGCTCCATCTTCCAAAGAGAAACCGATTACTAACGGTGGTCATGGACACACGCATTTGTACCTTAGGGCAGCTCATGCAAGATGTGGCTTCCGAACTAAAATTAATTCTTGCGAGTGAGATTGCCTGTCACCAAAATTCTTTGCTATCATGGTCCGGTGAGCATTTGTTCGTCTTATGATCGAGCGATTGGCCGATTTTAACAGGAAGCAACACTTCTCTCCAGCTATTTAGCATTTTGGGTGGTGGGCCTGCTTCTATCTTTGCTCAAAAAATGATGCTGGGCGGCACTTTAGGGCACTCTGGAGGATTGCTACCGGTGGCGGAATGCATCTGGTCCTCTTCTCATAAGTTGAACCGTTATGGGAATTAGATGGGCCTTTTGCTGATCCTCTTCGTCTGCTGCCTCGTTCATTTAGTCTCTTACAATTTCGAATCATCTGTTTTTTCTTTGTAACACTGGAGGTTTCTTATGGGTTAAATGGAAATTTCTTAGGCAATACTTTGCTTTCCGCGTGAGCAATATCTACTTAGGACCTCGCACAGCTGCGTCAAGCAGTTGAGGTAACACATGGTATCCTTGTCATTTTCCGGCACACAAACACGTAACTGGCAGGCCTTTCTCTTCGTCACGTGCACCATGTTATCCTGCTTAGTAAATTATAATGCGCATTTTGTATGGAAAACTATACATGTAATTTTTTAGCTGGGGCGTAGAAGTTTTGTGATGGCAGGAACTGCACTTACTTCAGCAGCACATTAGTAAATTTATTTATGAATTGGGGTAGGGTTTTGCTTGTTCATCCTCACAAATTCACTAGAAATCTCTGACTGCTATTATTGCTCCTCTTAACCGTTCAAATCTGCTTGTCCATGAATCATGCTAGCAGATTTAGGCTCTTTGAGACATGAGGAAATTCGGGAATATCGCAAAGAACTCTCTTTTGTTGGGTTGGTAACGCTTGTGGAGAAAAAGTCCGATTTCTAGCACTCACAGTTTATTATCAATTTAATTCCAAATGATAAAAATGTGGCAATGCTTCCTTTAGGTTCCGTTTCTCTTCTTCTTTGTTTTCTGGCCGGCCGTGGAGTGAGATTAACAGGGATTTAATTCATCAGTGGGGAGAGAATTTGGTATTTGTCGCGAACACAGGTCGGCAAGGTGCCCAATTCTCTCCTCTCTATTAGTCTATGTATGGTTCCCATTTCCACGTAGGACAAGTAGTTCTATGTCTTTAAAGGCCTACTCCTCAATGAAAGACGTTCTTAAAATGGTTAGTAATTCTCAAAAGCAAAGGTTTCGGCCTTCACTGTTTAATCACAAAGTTAGAAGTGGACAATTCCTTGCAACTAGATTCAAATGTTATTGTACCAGGAACAATTGTCAACCTAATAAATAATTTTTGGGGTCCATGACACAACAAAGAATCTGTTCAAATTTTATGCGCCAATCATTTTTCCTCCTTTCTCAAATCCTCAAGAAGTTCTTTTTTAGGAATTGGAGAATAATTTGAGCGCAATGAAAGCCTTGAGGGTATTGGAAGGCCCAGAAAAAATTTCCTTAACAGCGCTTCCAAACCACAGCTTCACCACCATACCATTGAATAATAACATGAGAGGAGAAGAATCCAGGCATGTCGCCTCACTGTTCCTTCCTTTAGCTAGTAAAACCTCCTAGAGTCCACCGGGATCGGGTTAACTACAACACACTCGGTCTTAATTGGGATCTCATGGATGCTTCTCATATCTTTGATCGTCTTTGCCTACGAAGAACTACTTCGAGCGCATGTCTCATTATTTCTGATTTTGCCTAGCCTGCAGCAATGCTCCCCTTAGTCTGTGTGAGATTATATTATAAATCCGTTCAGTTTAACTGCATTTTGTAAGAGATCAAAAAAAAGAATAAAAAAAAATAATTGCAGAGATATGCACCCAAAAGAGTAAGACTGTGGCAGGCTGGAAAACACGACCGCGCGCCCAAAGCCAAATATTCTTATGCCTTGACGCAGGTTTCCTTTTGCAGCAGATTGTAAAAGAGGTCGAGAGGGAATTGGTGTTCTGGACAAACTCTCTGATCTCTTCATTTCGCAATTCTGCACAGTCGCTTGGGCTACTAACGGCTCTGCTCGCTTGTGACAAGTGTCAGCACTTGGCTCCCGCACCGCAATTGTTTGTCCTGAATGACTCTTATTGAGAACTTCGAATGATTCTTCGAAATTGAACAATTTAAAATTTCCTTTTGGGCTCCACCACTTTATAATGCTCCAGGACTCATTCCTCTCCAACTTAAACAGAAGACCCACATCTAGAAAACATTTGCAGGTCAAATCAATCATTCAAGTATGCCAATGCACATCCGTGAAACAATGAGGGTAAACACCTACGAGGTGTCCACTCGAAATCTTTTATAGAGATTGCTACCTTGACACATGCATCAAGACTAACTTATCGACAGCATGCAGATGATGTGAAATTGAGGGTAATACATCTGATGGAGGACGTATGAAGTTATGAAATATGCTATGCAGTTATTGTATTTTCCTCTTTCTCACAACTTGTATATGTCTTGCAACCCATTTTAAGAAGCAAAAACGACAACATGCGTAACACTCATGGGATAATAAACCAATCACATAATGCTAATATGCATATGACCAACTTCATGACACAGATTACTATGTCTCATTTGTATTTATCTTATTCCGCACATCACCACCTTTAATACTGCTCCATTGAGAGATTGGCTAGTAATACCATGGTACAACGAATCAAATGGCCTAAGGTTCACGGCGATACATAGACATAGCCAGTTATCTGTCGCCCCATTACATGTTTGGTACCCCCTACTCCGGCTACAGGAAGCCGTTTGGTAAGTTGGCTATCGATTATATCAACGAAGCCATTATGTCAAGTCCCACTTGCATACAGTTTCCTAGGTACCAGTTTCAGGGTGAACTTAGAGATTTTTCTATCCTACTTGTTTCCGGTTTCTCATTCTATAACCTTATGTTGATTGCTTATACAGCATCCTAATCGTCCTGACATACTCCGATTGCATGAAATCATACAGTATCACCAAAACAGCCCAGAAATGATCATCACCAGGTAAATCCAAATGAAAATTATCATGATATTGTGGGTTCGCCGTTCACCACTATCACATAATGTGAGTCATGTTAATTTTAGTTCTTACTTATATCGTTACCATCGCGATCTCATTTATAATGTTCTCTCTTATTCAATTTGCTCGGACGTTATTCTTCCGACGTCCGAGTTTACATGCAAACTTAGTTGCCATTGCAATCTCATACAGCCTATATTAACCGCACTTCCACATACAGAAGGTCAAAGGGAAATACAATAGATGGAAGTAATATCAATGCCTTACTATATTGCTTTAATCAAAGGTTTAATAAATTTTGATTGGACCACTCTTTAATTAAGGAGCCAATTTACAGTCACGCCAGGACAATGGCTTATTCTATCATGAAATCCGTTCATATGAAAATCGCTGACTCATAAAGTGCATATAGTGTCATAAAGCATAGGAATGGAATACGGCAAGCTTAAGAGGGCAAATGAACATTATTACTGTTTATGTATTCTATAGCATATTTCTTGATTGGTCAAAATATTCAATCACCCA